GTCCAAATTATGGTATGCTGTAGCTTCTTCTCCTTAGAATACAGCCTTGCTTCTCACTTGCCATATGGACCAAACACAAGCCAACGAAACCACATCCCATCCATTCTAAAGAACTTTTAAATTAAAAAAGTTTGTTAAAAAAAAAGGTCAGAAGAGCTTTCAACTAACTCCTTGCATTCCCAGCACCTAGCCATTTCCAAATCCAGTAAATTTAATTTAGTTGAACATCTGTCTTGCACCATTTGCCATGAAAAAGCTGCTCTATTCCTAAGGGCAAACTTTCCTTGCATGCCCAACACCTTTCCTTATATTAAATGATATTTTTTCTACAATTTTAATTGATTGCATTCTTTATTGTTCTCATTACAGTTGGTAATATTACATCAGGTGATAAGTCATGGATAAATATCGAACAAAGGGTCTCCCTGACATATGTGCGAGGGGCTATGAGATTCATTTTGTTTGCCTCAAATCACCTAGATGAAGATGGAAAAATCATATGTCCTTGTAGGATATGTGTTAACGAGCAGTCTATGTACCCATAGGATGTCTTTGATCATATCATATGCAATGGATTTCTTAGGGGCTATGTCAACTAGGGATTACATGGTGAGGGTGTTGGATCATCAACACCTGAGATTGAAATTAATAAACAAGATGAGGGCTTCCTTCATGACATACATGGTTTGTTGAGTGATGCATTTAGTATGCATGCTGCAAACACTAATATTAATGGTGCATGAATGTTGATTTGGATGGAACATGCACTGAAACAAGAGATGACCATGGACAATATAGTCAATTTGAAAGCAGTGATGCAGCTATGTTTTGTAAATTGCTTAAGGAAGCTGAGCAAGGATTGTATCCTAATTGTAAGATGTCAAAGTTGCCATTCTTAGTACACTTGTACCACATAAAATGTCTTAATGGGTGGAGTAATAAATCATTATCCATGCTATTGGAGTTGTTAAAGGAGGCATTACCTGATGGACACACACTACCTACTACTTATAATGAAATGAAGAAAATATTTTCAGGTCTCAGTTTAGGGTATGAGAAAATACATGCTTGTCCAAATGGTTGTGTGTTATTCTGGAAAGATCGTGAAGATCAACAAGAATGTGATGTGTGTGGTGCCTCTAGATGGAAGGAAAGTAGTGTTGTTGTGGAAGATAAGGGAGAGAATTTTAGTAGTACTAAGAAAAAAATATTCCTGCAAAGGTATTACGTTGGTTTCCTTTAAAACCAAGGTTGCAAAGATTATTCATGTGTTCAAAAACGGCTTCTTTGATGAAATGGCATGAAGGAGGGTGCACCAAAGATGGATTGATGAGGCATCCTGCAGATTCTCCAACATGGAAAGATCTAGATTCTCGACATCCAGAATTTTCTGCTGATCCACGTAATGTTCGCTTGGGGTTAGCTTCAGATGGTTTTAATCCATTTGGGATGATGGCAGTATCTCACAACACATGGCCTGTTATATTGATACCGTACAATTTGCCCCTGTGGTTGTGCATGAAGCAACCCAATTCCATCCTCACATTGCTGATTTATGGTCCTAAAAGCCCAAGTAATAAGATTGATGTATACTTGCAACCTTTAATAAAAGAATTAAAAGAATTGTGGGATGAAGGATTGAAAACTTATGATGTCTCTGTTAATCAAAGTTTCCTAATGCGAGTAGTGGTATTGTGGACTATTAGTGACCTTCTTGGGCTCTCTAGTCTCTCTGGGTATAGTGCTAGAGGGATGTATGCTTGCCCCTATTGTGGTTTTGATACAGAATCTTTATGGTTGGTACACAATAGAAAGTATTGTTATATGGGGCATCGACAATGGTTAGAAGCTAATCACATTTATCGTCAAGATGCGCAATCATTTGATGGAACTTGCGAAACACGTCCAGCACCTATGAGGCTAACGGGTCTAAGGCGTTAAGGCAATTAGAATGCATAGAAGATGAATACAACAATGGCAGCATGCAACCTTAGAAAAGAAAGAGCATCTTCTTTCAACTGCCTTAGTGGGAACATCTTTTATTGCGTCATAATATTGATGTGATGCATGCAATGAAAAACATATTTGATAACACGTGGCACCATCACAGGCCAATAGGGGAAGTCTAAAGATAATTACAAAGCACGATGTGATTTAGAAGACATGGGTATGCGGAATGATCTCCATCCCAAGGTGCGCTTACATACTAATACTAAATATTTGCCAAAAGCTTGCTATCAAATGACCTCTAAGGAAAAAGATGCCTTCTTTAAAGTTCTTAAGGATCTTTGAGCCCCAGATGAACTGTCATCAAATGTATTACATTGTGTCCAACTTAAACCACACAAATTAATTGGACTCAAAAGTCATGGCTGCCATGTATTGATGCTTGAACTTCTCCCTAATGCATTACGTAAGTCTTTGCCAGACGAGGTATGCTCAACTATCATTGATTTTTGTAACTATTTCAAGAACATTTGCTCTAAGGTACTATGTGAGAGGGATCTTGACTTGCTTGAGCATAGAATTGCAATTACTCTCTATGAGATGGAACAGATATTCCCTCCTTCATTTTTCAACATTATGGTTCATTTGGCTATTCACTTGGCAAATGAGGCGAAACTTGGTGGGTCAGTTAATTTTAGGTGGATGTATCCTATTGAGAGGTACAACTTAAACCTTTTTCATGTGGTTTTAGTTTGTAATATATCTATATCTAACTTCAAGGATTATTAGATGTTAATCTAGATTAATATGTTATTATTTTTGTCAATTTTATGCTTGGTTGGTATTCATAATCAATAATTTGAATATCTTTTAGAATAATTTTTTTAGTCTCTTTAACCTTGATTTTAATTTTTTTTCCTTCACTTGCTGGACATATGCAATGTTGTTCATTCATTTGAACCCAATTTCTCCCTTTCCCGTGGTCATTGATTTTGTTGGATTGAGTTTTTCTTCCTTTTTTTTTTTTTTTCCTTTTTTATAAGGTTGAAAGTGAGTTTATTCTTGAAAGAAAAATTAGATTTTTATGGGAGTATTGGGTAATGAAGGAGCAGTTGCTAGTTATGTGTATTTTAGAT